CCCCCTGCCCTGAGCTCCCTGCCGCACCCTGCACCCCAACCCCCTGCCCTGAGCCCCTTCCTGCACACCGCAGCCCCTCCCACACCCTGCACACCAATCCCCTGCCCCAGCCCTACATTCATGACCCTGCATGCAATTTCCCCACCCAGATGTGGCCCTCAGGCCAAAAAGTTTGCCCACCCTGCCATAGACCTTTCTCTCGCTCACTGCTGTATCCCTCTCTCATTCAGGACCCGAGACATTTGCTCTTTTGCTAATTGATCACTCTGTCTCTTTGGTTCCTTTGCCCCACTCAATGGACCTGCTGTTTAGGTGACAATGATGTTCCCTACAGAAATCCACTTACAGGTTAGAGCCAGATAAAAAACAAATGGACAAAAACATTTTGCAAAAAATTGTGAGGTTTCAAAGTGGCTACTTTGTCTACATTGTCTACTTTAACAATTTTTTTTATTTTTCATTTATCGAAATGGTCGGCTTTATATGAACAAAGCATTTAGATGCAATATTTTATTTACAAAACGGGATGAATAATTTTGTGAAAAATGTCATTAGTGTCAGCAATTATTTGCAAAAAGAGTTTGCTTTAGAAAAACGTCCACTTATACACCAAAAATTTTAAAAAAAGTTTTTTTAAAGAAACATTGAGTAGCTCTATTGAAGATAGTAGGGTGTGCTGCTCGCGTTTCCTGCTTATCCCATCCAGGTGAACCGAACTGTGACTGCGTTACATTGCAGTGAGCTGGGGTTGGGTGAGTGGCTTGCTAAGATGAGGGTTTCCCAGGCTGCCCTCTGCAGTGGTGGGTTCCATCTCTCACTACACCATGGACTATGCCAATGCTCTCAGACATCAGAGGGGTAGCCGTGCTAGTCTGGATCTGTAAAAAGCAACAGAGAGTCCTGTGGCACCTTTAAGACTAACAGAAGTATTGGAGCATAAGCTTTCGTGGGTGAAAGTGGGTATTCACCCACGAAAGCTTATGCTCCAATACTTCTGTTAGTCTTAAAGGTGCCACAGGACTCTCTGTTGCTTTTTAATGCTCTCAGAGTTATTCCTGAGCTGAGAGGAGACAGGCCCCAGTTCCTGCCACTGCCAGAGATCCCAAAATCCCAGAGAGGAAGGGCACAGAGTGATCTGAGCTGGAGTAGAAGGCACAGGAGGAATGACCATGCCAACCAGCTCACCCATCACCGCTAAGGCACTGGAGCCTTACGCTGCCAGGCATGACAGACTGGTTGGCTCTGATCAGGCTAGTGAAGAAGCCATCCTGGCCCTGTATGCTGGGTGTGAGGCCCCTGACCCACCCCCTGGAGAAAGTCTGTGTGAGACTGACAATAGACTGAAGTGACTGTGCAGGCACTGGATACAGCCAGGTGAACGACACAAGGAAGCAGCTGGAGAACCACCACCTGTGCATGCTGAGACCGTAGGATCCAGTGTCAGGAAAGGAGCATCTACCACCCAGGTAGGCGAGCAGCAGTAAAGCTGGCAGAGCAGCACCCCTGGGCTGGCAGAGGTGAGGATGTAAAGCCAAAGGCTGATGGGGGATGGGCTGTGCCTGGGGAGAATGTAAAACACCTGGGGAAAAGCTGCCAACCTCAGGGCCTAGAGCCGTCACCTACTTTGCTGGCAGCACCTTGGCCATTCAGGCCCTGGCTGGCACCGCACATAACCCAGGCATAATTAGAGCTGGGTCCATCCTACCTTGTAAGTGATGGTAAAGCTGTGATTGGCAGAGGGGCATGTGTTGACCATGACAATCCCAGAGCAGAGAGACCTGCCGGAGAAAGGTCAGGGATGGTGGTCACAGGTGAGGGGGTATTTAACACCGGCTAAGAAGTCTCAGGCTGACAAGGGCTACCCAACCTGGATGAGGAGTTAGGCAACGGGGGACGCAACCCCCTGTGCTCTTCCTGAAAACGCATTGCAGCTGCAGGCACTGCAATAGGGGCAAGGAGAATATTCTGCTCAGACAGCTTCTGCACAGAGCCCCACAGCTGGGTCACATGGTGGGAAACACATGTGAGCCCTCCCTATGCTACAGCTCCCACCATTGCTACCCCGGGGGCAGGGCGGGGGGTGCCCCACTGACAGATTACAGCTGTGGGGCATTTCTAGTCTAGTGCCAGGCTTGGGTCACGTTCCTTTTGGGCCTCCACAATAACATCCCTGGAGCTTCCTGCAGGCCCTTCCTGCGGAGATACTCCTCATTCTCACTCAGCCGGCCAGAACTGGGAGAAAATAAATCACACCCTCTCTGCTGAGGATCTGACCCCCACACCCACCTAACTCACTACCCAGAGGAGAGAAAGGGTCCATCCTGCCTCAGTCTCCCAGCTGAGCGCTCAGTCCATCGATGTGGTGAGGGAAGGGGCTTCCACCAGACCTGGCCAGGATGCATGGGAAGCCCTGAATGACATGGGCCTTGAGGAGACAGCTCCTGCTGGGTAACACCACAGAATTTGACCGACACAAGGAGGGTTCACAACCACGCTGGCTACAGGGCCACCCAGCTCCCACAGTCCCATCCCCACTGCCTGGGCCACTTGTCATCTAGGAGACACCCACTGGCCACCCTAACCCCACACACAGCCTCCCACGTTCTCCAATCCTGCTGGGGAGCCCCCCACGGCCTGAGCCAGCCACTCCCCTGTTGTCCCTACACACACTCAGCCCGAGGGACTCCCTTCCCCATTGTCCCTGCAGTGCCCCTGGGAAGACCCGCCCCAGGCCCCTTCACGAGCTCGTTACCCATTTCTTGTCCAACTCGGGGGCCCTTTCCAGGGGCACCTGGCAGCTTGTACTTTCTCAGTGCTGCCTCCTCCGGAGATCCCCATGCGGGATGGGGCTGTGGTGGCTCCAGCTGGGTGCTCTGAGATTCCCATAATGCTTCAGGGGCATCCATCTCCTCTGGGGTCACGTCCTCAACCTTCACACGCACTGTGACCTGGGAACCAACCACATGAGTCACCGGGCAGCCAGG